GTGGAGGAAGAAATCAGGAAGAATCGCTGAAAGTGGATAGGACACACATTGAGGAAAGCACCCAACTGTGTCACAAGGCAAGCTCTCACTTGCAATCCTCAAGGCAAAAGGAGGAGAGGAAGACCAAAGAACACATTACGCCGAGAAATGGAGACAGATATGAGAAGAATAAACAAAAACTGAATAGAACTAGAAAGGAAGGCCCGGGACAGAGTGGGTTGGAGAATGCTGGTCGATGGCCTATGCTCCATTGGGAGTAACAAGCCTAAGTGAGTAAGTATTTTATACATTTTGAACGTTTGGTAGATTTAAACACAACGAGACAAATAAGATGGATACAATAACATGAATTCATTAAATTTCAATATATCCTCGAGTTTTTCTAAACATATTACCTAAAAACTGTGTCTGAAAGAAAGTATAACGTTCATAAGTGCAATCATTAGATATCTACTAGATAATGGACTCAAAGTGGATATAAAAAAGGCGTATAAAACAAATAATAAACAGAGAACACCGCTTTAACTATTCATTTCAAAGCCTATTGTCATGAAGTGGTTTCAATCTAACCTTTGTCTACAGAAAAAGTGTGGTAAACCTTCCGTTGCAATGGTGGAGAATTATATTGTTTTAACGTTTGTCTATTACTTAATCTTTTTTATTGTATTGTATATTTTGAAAAGTTCAATTAGCATTCAATCACAATGTTTGAATTTCATATAAACTAAAATGTGTTGTTAAAAACCATTTGATTTTCAGTCTGTTTATTATCATTTACAACACCATCCCTTTTCTTAAATTACTTTAAATTGAATAGTATAAATACTAATTAATCTTAACTATTACATCCAATATATTATTATCTCTTCTTGTTCCCAATGTTTTTTATGTGTAGCTTCAAACTAAGCTTCATTGTATGTTGAAGTTTTTTATTAATAATGTAACCAACGCTAATTTCAAACTGTTTACAGTGAATGAGTCAATGTTAACCTACTCTTCTCATATTTTGTAGCTTGTCATTCTGAATTTATATCTTTATCAACCTAGTGTGGTGAATGTTGTAATTTCGTATTAATGATACATTGTAGCTTTGTAATTTATGCATCTTATTCATGTGAATTTTTTTTCAAGTCACATATACATAGATTACATTGAGTAGTTTTATTCCATTCTTTTGACTGTAACCTATAGACAATGATTTCTGAGTAGGTCAACAAGGTTAGTCTGTCAAGTTATCTAATTGTAGGATTAAAAGCATTGGTCAAACCATTAGCAGCCTGAAAGGTTATATTAAGATATATATGTTCAATCGATGATATAGACTATTTTTGATTGTCATCAGTAAAACTATTGGTTCTTTTAAGAGTTAGTTTAATAATCTTGATTTGTTAACAGATTGATTTATGTTGAACAGCACAATTTCAACATGAAATTATAATAATCAATTTATATAGTTAAAACTTCAATAATTTGTTGTCTAAATAGAAAAAATTACTTTGATAAGTAAAATTTATATTTATTTTACTTATCATGATCTATGCTCAATTTATATGTTGATAAATAATGAAGATTGTAGAAATCATTAAAGTTCATCACGAAACAAGCCCTAACTTGGAATACTGAGGGCAAACAGAGAAGAGGAAGACCAAAGAATACACTGCAACGAGAATCGGAAGTAGACATGAAAAGAACGAATATCAACTGGTAAGGATTTCACAGGACGGAGTTCGATAAGGAATGCTGGTGGTCGGCCTATGCTTCTCCACGAAAGGTAACAGGTGTAATCGATATCTAAGTAAATGACCAATGATACACAACATTTCATAACTTATAGTGTTATTTGATTTTATTTCGAAATAAACTGTATTTTAAAAATCAATTTCACTAAGAGAAAATTAAGTAACTTAAAAACTTGTTCATACACAACTACGATTTAGTCAAATAATTTATTATTTATACTACTAATACTGTAGGCTAAAAAACCTTTAAAGCATTTGAATTCAATGAAGAAAAGTCAATTTTCTATTCATGTAAATAATGGTCATTTAAATGTATACACTAAACAGATTAGATGAACAAATATAAATTATTGTAAATTATTCCATACCATTTGTTTAAATTTCATTTAGAGTCTATTAAAAAACGTTGAAATAAACTTATTGTTAACATATCTCAATGAATCTATTCATTATCTTTCCATCATTTCAAGAATTAACATTTCCATATACATAATAATGATCTCATATGGATTAATTCATAAATTCAGTCGGTATTATCACAGTTGAATTTACGAGTTGTTCTAAGCTAGACCACTATTAAAAACTCGGAAGCACTCGACGGCCATTTCGTCCTAGTATGGGACTACTTGATAGTGCACATCCACGACGCAGCATGCAGTTTTCAAACCGATGATATTCAGCCTCCACTGAGATGGCATCCAACAGTGTTAGTGTCTAATTTCAAATAATCCATGATCTTGCTCAACCTTTCATCCATTATCTGTGATGGATAACTGCCTCACATACAACACGGTTCAATTCTACTAGTCACGGCTTCTCACTAGAACTCCAAGAATTTCATCTTGAAGTTAGTCAATAATGAGCATATAATCATTATCAGTATCACGATTTGTGAAAACTGTGGTATTTTCACATTTGAATTCAAAAAGTTGATCTATGATAATAGTATAACTGACATAAATTCTCATATAGTCTATATTACTTCAGTTTACGATTTATGATTACATTAGAAAGTCATTTCTTAAAATTTCTGAAATAAAATAATTTTTACACTGATTATGTAATCTATTATTAATTGTTAAAAAGAAACAACAAACTATCAACTGAACAACAACAAAAATATAAAAACAGCCATATAATTATTTTTACTAGATAACAAGACTGTAGAAAAACAATCTTAGTGATTAATTTTTATAGTTACATGATGACAACAATAACAAAACATACAAAACTAAATAAAACTTACTAGAACTTATTCGTTTTAAATGGAAAATGTTAAAATCCCAATTATTTAAATTTTTAATCTGTAAAATAAAACAAAAAAAACAAATAGAGAAAACGAAATTCCACAAAAAAAACTAAGTTATTTTTAAAAATAGAAAAAAAAATAAAAAGAAAGAAAACCTTTCTTACATCAACTTTAATCGTATATAATTAATTATAAATGAACTATTTTATGTGAAGATAACGAAAAAAATAATATGAAAATAATTTTCAACATAAAATGATATTACTGAAATGACTGTTTGAAATTAAAGGGTAATAATTAGATATTACGTCATCAGTTTAATATTCCTTGGTATTGCGTATGCAAAAAAATATACGGGCTCAAATATACAATATTCAGTTTTTCTGACATCCACAAGAGATTCGATTACAGAGCTGTGATTTATTCTACCATATGTTTCAACTTACATTAAATCAATATATAATACTATTATTTTCAAGTATCGTTGATTGTAAACCGTTTTTCTCTTCAATAGCTTGATTGCAACAAACCATGGCTTTCGTTTCAGACGCAGGAATAGCCATTACTAGTGTATATAGAATTGTTATTTTGATATATATCTTATACAGATTTCTGTAGATTTGTATTTTCTGAACTGTTTGAAAATAGAGAATATCGGATATTGAATTTTGACCTAGTGTTTAAACGTTACTGTAATCATCATCCGACTTCAATAGTCACAAGTACTAAGTACTGCACAATTTTAAACCAACAGAAAGCATCTGACAATATTCCTTTGTTTACTGCAATTTTACTGTCAACAATAAGTAATAAGAAAAAACCTAAAATTACTTAGATTTATCTACAAATGATTTATCCTCAGTTAGAATAAACCTTTCTTAATTGTTTAAACGAAATTTTTCATTAGATTTTTGGATAAGCATGAATAACTATCAGTATAGGGTTGTGAAGATTGTTGAGTTCCATTAAAACTATGAACCGACCAATGTAAGACCATCATTTGAAATCTGAAAGCACTAGATGGGCATTTCATCCTAGTACGAAAACCCTCATTCATGTGCATCAACAACCGCGCAGTCTGTGTTAGATGAAGATAGTTATCCGCAGAAGACAATGGAAGATGGCTGTGCAATAACGTGGACTGATTGAGGTCAAACATTAACATAATTGGGATCTGGCACAATGGTTTAGAGGTTAGGCGTTCGGGCACAGGATTTCATTCCCAGATGAGAGGTTGTGGGCAGGCACTGCTGAGGAGTTCTATACTAAAATAAATTGACCGTCTAGTGATTCCAGGTTTTCTATGGAAATCGAACATTGATAGGTTGATGATTTCAATGAAATTTGAACAATAGTAAAACGCATTGAAATCCTGGAAATTTATCAAGTGGACAAGCTATACGCTAACTAAAACCCCCACAATACTTTAAATAGTCATGTGTGTAAAGTATGATAATTTATGTGTAATATACTTTGGTTCAAACGTTTGAAATTGGCAGACAAAAGCCATTTAACTAATCTCTCAGATTGTTAGAATCCATTGGGTTTTACCTAAACCATGTTACATAGTATAATGACCATGTCTTGATGGAATTTTGTCAGGGTTAAGTAAGTGAACAGTTCTTACCTCATTCATTTTACCTACCAGGTGTTAACGTATGTTACAGTTAAATTTTGGGATGTATTTATTTATTCTACATGTAATTCTAACAATTTTTTTAAAATTAATATGTACTGTCAATATTTTTTTCCATTGAGATTATGGACCGATCAATGTTAAACCACCAGTGAAAACTTCATAGCACACGAAGGTCACTTCATCCTAAAATGGGACTCACCAGTGGTGCGAATACACAATCACACACACACACACACAGGATTCGGACACAAAACCGTCAGTCTCGCACGAGAACGCTTAATCTATACACCACTGAGCCGACATTCAACACTCCTAATGTCTAACTTCAAACAACAAACCATGTCATGCGACCATCCTACACTGTCTTCTTTCGGTAAATGAATCACACTAAACACAGTTCAACTCCACTGATAACCACCTCTCACTAGAACTACAACAATCACCTCTCTTACTTAGTCAACAGTCAGCACATGATAATCATCAGTATATCGGCTTGTCGAGATTATCGAGTTTAAATTCATATCATGGATCGATCAATGTTGGATCACCATTCAAAATCATTCAATAAAATCAAACAATTATTCTTAATTAGTGTCAATGATTAACAATTCTAAAAACAGACTAGACCAGTTTATGAATTATACAATGTATATAAGTTTTGATGTTTTTTTTGTGATAGCTTCGGATTCTGTTTCACTTATTACTGTTTAGGTAACTAGGTAATAACACTAGCTCTTATAAGAGCAATTGTGTCTCAAAAATTGATTATACCAATGCTAGGACGAAATGGCCATCCAGTAGTTCCAGGTTTTCAATGATGGTCCATGTTAGATCGACTCATGAATTCAACTATTAAAAATGTCTACAATCTTCACCAACCCACCTTCTGAAAATAAAAATTTATCTGAAATAGCAGATAAATAAATAAACAATCACTCGATATCACTATTCCAAGGGTTTTTCTACCAAACTATGCAGTATAACCTATAACGTTAATAGTGATAATATTATTCGGCTGTATACGAAACGAATTACAAACCAATTATGACTAAATTGTTGAGAATAAAATATTTGCACTGATAAAGTATATATTTATATGAATAGTAAACAGAGTTGTCGTTGGTAATAGTTGATCGTTTTTGACTCCCCGATTTACATAAGAAAAAGGATAAAACTATTAACGTCTATGATATTTATTGTAATATTTTTTATGAAACTTTATGACATTGTGTTTTATCCATGTGTTACAGAGCTTCTTAATAATTAAAGAAACGAATGATTGATTCTTTATTTTTAGTATTGTTGTGATAAATATATGGTGTCCGAAAATTATTGTCATGACCTGGATAGTTCGGTGGTACGGTCTTAGATTGTCATACTAGGAAGCTCACGTTTGAATCTATGAAGAAACAGCAGTTTACTCAAGATGACATGAACACCTTGGTGATTAGTATTGGCCAGCATGAGACCTAGGTTTATGATTTCCCAATGACTATCTTTAACACGTAGCATTTCAAAACAGTCCACTTGACATACAGCCACTTAGGTTAGTGACCAAAATGTAACTTAATATGTAGAAATAAACTTTATCTGGTCCGGTATTGTGTAAAAATTGCTCCGTTTAAACAATAAAATCTCTGACTATTACCACTGTAAAACTATTATGAACTTTAAAAAAATATACTAAATAATTTAGTGTTCATGAAAAATTATTTGACTGAATTATTGTCAGGCATTTATTGTAAACTAATATTTTCTTAGCACAGTATATTCGCTCGAACTGAATCCAGATACCTAATACGTTGCAATTCCTTGGTGAAATGTAGGCTTGTCTATATACCGAGTATCACTGAGCATACATTTTTAGAATAACGAAAAATCACTTATGAAGTAAATTTAAACTCAATTATACTATGTCGACTGTATTATTTTTCGACATAACAATAGCAAGACGGATATTGTCAAAAAATGTGATGTATTTGCCCCATACATTTTGAGCGACATCGCAAATGCATAATTTTTCTTTAGATAACTCCGTCTTCTCATTGTTCTGTTAAAATTTATAAAAGGTACTTTACATTGTTTTTACCACTCTTACGCGATAAGAAAAGTTAAAATCGGTTATATAATTCTTACTCTATAGATGGTTGAACTGTACCAGTTCCAGCCTTTCACTAAAATTGTAAAATATCAACCATTAAATCTAGTCACGAGTGAGCACGTGACTACTGTTTGGTTGAGCGGGCTAAAAACATTTGTGCGCAATGATGAAGTATCACAAACTACAATAAGCAAGCTATTCAGCGATCCAAAGGTCCTTCAACTAATATCAGTCTATTACACAATTTAATTTCAATATTTAACCAATCTTTAAGAATAGCCCAACCAAATTATGAACACTTAGTTTCATCATATCCGTAACATTCATACCTTTACATGTCCAGCTGGATGATCTATAAAACTAAGGTGAATTTTATCGACCATTCTTTCAGCTGTTTGTGATTTCTTTACGTCTTCTTTTGAATTATCAAGGTTGTACATATTCTTTGAATTTTTATCTTCATACAAATAAAATAATTGTATTGTCCCAGCCATTTGTTCACTTTGTTGACAAGCAAATGAATTAAATGAATTTGATCGATATCGAATACGTCTACATGATGAATTTTTGCTTCTTTGTAAATCTGAATTTCAAGGAATAAAAAAGAATTATTTGGATTATAAATTTGACCATAATGACAATGATGATATAAAAAAGTATTGGAATGAAAAAGTTGACAATACTTCGAATTTACTGCAAAATGAACGTAAAATTTGTTTGGATGTCAAGTGGTTGAAATTAATTGACACAAATCTCTGGACCTAGTTTTTGTGCTAGGCGGTACTGTTACTGGCAAAGTTTACCTTTAATCATGAGGCAAGTGATGTTCATAGTTAGAGAGGTTATTAGTGAACTCTTAAGGTCATAGTTACACAACTTTTAATTTCAGTCGGTCGACTTGCTAACGGACCCACGCAAATGATCAAGATTTGGCTTCACGTTCTAAAGGAATATACGTACACTGTCGATTAAACGTGACCTTATTTTCTGTGGGAAGTGTATCTATAGTCATGAATGAATTTTACATGTATTTTTGATTCAGTTAACCGATAAAAGCTTGATACTTATTAACGGTCTTCCGACTCAAGCAGCTGGTTGAAGCATACAAATAGGAAGTGTACATATCAGTAGCAGACCCGGACATTCTCATAGCCCAAGAAAATAAGGATGCTAACGGCAAACCAGGAAATACCAGTTTTTTTGATGAGTATTCAATAGCCACTACATAAAAAGTAAATATATAGTTTAACTATCGTTCACTTTTTTAAATAATGGTTATCTTTCCGTGAATGGCAGAGGCGGTTAATAGCATGACAACGGTGTTATCGGACTTCAATAAGCCTGAATTCAGGATCGAGGTAATTTCCTCGATTATCTAACGTTTTATAATTTACCCCATAAAATTCAATCATTTTATAAAAAATTGTTAATAAGATCAATTTGTAACGAATAAGTCACAACGAATAATGTATGTTCCATCAAACTGATTTGTTTCTTTTTTATTTAATCAGAGCTTGAGAATGTCTCTAGATGATCGTATAATTTCATAAGCTAACCGTGTATATACTAAAATTTTCCTACGTGATTCTTACATAAACGCTCATATATGTATTGATAAACACTTTTTCCGGCTACTGCCTTGTGTTAAAATTATTCCTTGTTCACGACTTCATTCAATAGAACTAAAATGAACCAATTGAAAATAAGTTATAAACAGACAAATATGTTGTTTGTGTTCACATTGCTTCATTTATATTTTTGAAAATCAAATAACCAAAACTGTAATTTTAACCATTCAATTAGATAATTGTGGACAACTAAAAATATTGCATAATTGTAAGAAGGGATGGTTGGTGACTAGTAATGAAATCCAAGATGCACGTTTCTTCCTGTTGGAGACTCGTCGACCATATGTACCTTCGCCTCAGAGTTGATGTTCACTCGGGGACTCAAACCCAGTACCTTCCACTCTAAAAACCATCGCTAACGGTACTCGGTTTGAGTCCCGGAGTGAACATCAATTTTGGGATGCAGGTACATCTGGCTGACGAGTCTCCAACAGGAAGAAACGCGCATCCTGGATTTCATTGATAGTCACCATCGATCTCTACTTATAATGCGTGTGACTTATGGCAATAACGAGGCAGTCTGTACAGGATGCACATATGCCAATAAATGATTGATCAATCGCAATCCTAATCATCAATGGGAAGATTCAAACAACCAGGCAAAAATGAATTGCTACATGACTGTGCATATATTCATTGATTAGAAGCTAAAAACCCGTTGTTTGATTTTTATCAAAAATAACCTCTAAAATAATATAATACTGGACATTTATTGACCAGTAAACAATAATAACTTTGCACAGATGATATCAACATGCCTATACAAATGTAATGACCGAAAAACAGTCAAACTTTTATGTGAACTATCCATTATCTGGCTCAAGAATAATCGAATTTACGAACACAAACACATACATTCATTGATCATGTATTCAAACACTTTATGCTTACATCTTTCATGTTATCATTAAATGTACTAAATTGACTGGTATAGTATTTAGCAATGTGGGTTTGTGGAGATTGTTAAGTTTTTGATCGAACAAGGAGTGTATGATTGAGCAAGTAAAGGATTAATTGACTGATTAGTTGGATATAAGTTAGTATAAGACATGGTAGAAAATAAGAAAGCCAGTTCAGTAAATTTGAAACTTTGTAGTTGAAAAATCAAAGGGTTTTTCATAATCTGTCATAAATTATTCATTTGTACAAATATTCGTCAATATTAGAACGAGTAGTTTGACAGAAATTAGGCACCGAGTAGAGAGAAGATATTATATGTTAAAATTATATTTGAAATAATCTCAGCGATTGGAATTTAAATCATTTGAACGTTTCGTCCAACAAACGTGCCTGTTCTTCGGGATAACGATCAAAATCAAATTATTTCAAATATAATTTTTATATAAATTATTCACTGTGTATACCAATCAATAAAAAAATAAACCGCATAGAAACTGAGAAAAAATAAATCAAACTATATCATCATGTTATCATGGCTTTTCTTATTTCGTTGAAGTTTTGAAGTAAGGCTGTCAGTATAGGATTGTAGGGACTTGATTTTAGATTGATATCATGAATATTTCATCACCGGCTTGGCCGTCTAAATGTTAAGCGTTCGCGCGCGAGACCGAAGGTTTTGGGTTCGAGTTCCGTGTGGGAGAGTGGATGCGCGCTGCTGAGGAGTTCCATGCTGGGACAAAATGACCGTCCAGTGCTTCCAGGCTTTTAATGGTGGTCTAACATTCAACCATTCATGATATCAATCTAAAGGAAAATAGTTTAAGTTACAAAATAATTATGGAATCGAAAATCATCATAAAATTTAGATGACGTGATAAATTATTTTCTTTAAAATCTTTGAGAATAAATTCCAACATCTACATTTGATTCTGATTAATTAAATCACGTTTATTAGTGTTATAAAAGTTTTGTGAAAATTGTTCAATTTGATGGTGATTTATAGTATAAACTGTAGCTAGACAAGAAGATATGGTTAGTTCTATCGTCCTGACCACATAAAGTGTACTTCACCTTTAGAGTTTTTGACCATTAATTCATCTCTGTGATTCATAATGACTAAAAGTCTTGAATTTGATTCACGATTGGAGGGTTTTATTGTAGGATAAAGTAACTCTCTTGCTCTCAAAAGTCTTCTAGCAAAATCCAGTCCTTTAACTGTGGATCATATGTAAATAATTATTAGTTAAAAACTTTTTTTCTTACGCGTTACACATATTTTAATGTTTCCATACTTCACCGCAAATTAATATCGTGAGTTTATTTTAAGTGAGAGTAACAGGTTATCAAAAGTCAAACAGTTTTAATTCCAATCACAACATTATACAAAGCTGCTAAACAGTGCAGAGAAAATAAGATTAACCTGAATTTTGAATTTTATTAGATCCAGTGTAACTTCAAAGTAAGCATAAACCGTTCTTTAAATCAAAATACGTGTACTCAGTTTACGCTTATCTAAAGAGTGAAGTGATAAATTGACGTTTATCCACCAAGTAACAAGTTCTAAACCACATATTACTTATACTACATCAAACAACTAGGTAGTATGACTAAACATCATGTTAAAAGTTTAGCGGGAAAATGGATGTGCGCAAATCTGGAACAAACTATGTTCGGAATAGTCCAATTGCTGACGAAACACCAGTTAAATACGCGCTGAATCTATAACCTGTTAAATTTTTATTTTAAAGTTTTTTATAAAATGAGTAGTCATCAGAAAATTAGATCTTAATATAGTCCACCTTCTCAAACTACAACTCGGTGAACAGACTATAGGGGACATTGTCAAAAAAGAGGAAAAGATAGATAACATTAGAAAAATGTCGAAAGAGGAGATTTCTAAAGCGTACAAACAGCAAAGAATTGAAGGCACATGACAGCAGAGTAGGAAACGTTTGGAACTATTCAAGCACTGAACATATTTAGACTACTTCAACTGATTCTCAATCACATGCTTCCAAAAAATAATTCCAGTTTCCTTTTCATGAGCCTCTGGCCAACAAGTAAATATTGCTTTTAAAAAAAATACCAAGATCAACAGCTAAGCAACTTTATAAGTGAATATGAAATATTTTAATCTGAGCGTTTTTGAAATGTCTACAATCTTCTTTTACTCTAAAGGGCATATTATAACTAATCATGTATTACATCTACTCTAACCAATAAGATCGATAATTAATTTGTCTCCATTTACTTACTATCCCATAACTAACATTAGTTCTATCAAATGAATGTGACTATTTGAAAGTATTTATCATCAAAGAATTGTAAGAGAATGATGTGTAACTAGTGAAAGTAAATTTGATTGGCCACTAAGAGTAAACTGACAAACATAGCTTACTAACAATTCAATTTGTGATTTTTTTTATTACTATTGATTTCTACAGTAGACTCAGTAAGTATAGTCTACTTGTAATTATAATGAATAAAGTATTGTCTTGATTATACTCTGGTTCTCTATATTTGATCATATATTTGAATCATATATCAGTTTTACGTGATCTAATCTGAGTGTATGATGTTGATTGAGTACCTTTGTGGTAATATAAATGTTGGTATTTTCACCTTATTGTAGTATAGTGTGACAGATAGAAAATAATTTTTATTTCGTTGTAATATCAGAAAACTAAAATTCATGTCATCCATTCTAATGAATAATGTATCATAGATACTATGTTACACATAAAACTTCTGTAACAAAAATAATATTGCAAACAAAAGTATAAGTCGAACTAAATAAATTAATTTGTATGCTTTTCTTGTTAAATATATCAAACAAGATACATACCTTATTATAATTATAATTAGCCTACATTTAAATCAAGACAATACATTGAAATTCATTTCCTGTAAAATTGTATTACATCATTTAGCATATAATATTTATATGTATGTAATCTCTCTTGCTTTACTCTCACTTATACTTTGTATGTATTGCAATTTGTCTGCAAGGAAGAAAAAAGCTCATCAAGAGTTGATTCGAAGTTATGTCTTCTTT